TAGGGTGGGTTGAGCAAGAGGAGTGGCAGGCGGGGCGGCCTGCCCGCGTATCGTTGGAATTGAATTCGAGTATGCGATTGCTGTGTGATATTCTCTGGATTGGAGATGCAGTCAATGGAGCGTAAGCGTTGTCCAGGGGGGCAAAAGAGAGAGACCGCCCATGGAGTGAACGGAGGACCGGGCCAACAACTGCCGGTAGTTTAAGCTGGTCTACTTTACTTTCCAGTGATTTAGTGAACTCTCTCTTCTCCGCGCTCCACCGTTCACGTCAAACAATGCAAACACCACAAACCACCTCCGCTCGGGTCACATGATGGCTTGAGGAAACGGTCTGGGATTTCCTTGTTCACACCGATAAATTAACCCAGTGTACAACGTGCTAAAGTACTCACTACCAGTCATATTATAGTTCAAGATATATTTAAGCTCATGTACTCCTCATAGATTCTTGCATTTCTATATACGTTCTACTATCACAGCATGCACAAACACCGAGCCTGGTCAGGCGGGAGCGATTTTTAATCATAAACACAGATTTATACTCCGTCAACACCCTCTCTAAAATCGACCATGCAACATTACACCAAGTCTAAGACTTTGGAGCTGGCGGTGACATCCATCGTCCATCTTTCAGCCAGACACCAGCCCCTCCGTACTTGCCAGCTTCCGCTCCCTTGAGGAAAGCAAAGCGGAAGAAGAGATCCTCGGGTTGTGAATCTTCGTCCGCACGGAGGACCTCCATATCCATCGCATCACTCTCGATTGTCGGCCGGTGGAATAGTTCAAGCCCGTTATGTCCATGTCTATGCCAGATAAATTCTCCGCGCTTGTCTTCGTCAAGGTATCCGCGCCAGCGCTCGACGTCGTTCACCAAAACAGAAATCCCATCCACACCCAATTTATTCATACGTTGCCGCTCCCAGAGACTAAAGGTAATGTTGCCGTTGCCGTGGTGGGTTTCGTGGGAGTCCAAGCCTGGCAGCGAAATCGTCACGGAGGAGTCGGTGACGTTGGGGTAGGTGCCGCCCCACCACCCGTGCGCTCCACCAGGACCCGGGGCTTGCTCGCCCAAAGCCGCGGGTGTTTCAATGATCGACGCAAACCCCCACCGGGCAACGCCGTTGATGAAAAGACCCAAGAGCAAGCCCTGATAAATCAGAGATGGTCGAGTTGGGAGGGCCGTGCCAGGCATAAGTAGGATGGCGAGAATGTAGTGGTGGATGCGCAACCGGAGACCCGGCAGAGGAAGCAAGATCAGAAGGATAAGACCCATTGTACAATAGATCTTGAGGTAGCGAGGCATCAAACCACCCATGCGAATTTGCCAAGCTTGAGTGAGAACAATACAGATGACCGTGGGAATGACAAGCGCCAGTGCTACTTTGGCTCCGGGCTGTTTCTGGATGTCGTGGGGTGTTAGTCGCTCCAAGGGAATCAGTCTCGCAAAGGTGTAGTTGTTCAGACCGCCGATAAACGCAGGTGGCAAGTAAAGCAGCGTCTTGGTAATCTGATAGACAGGCTCCGACAGCGGATCCAACAGCGGCCGAGCGCAGTATTTATATAGGACGTAAGCCACGAAGGAGGCCGGCAGCAGTCGTGACAGCAGACTCGAGAGCAGGTCGGCAAACTGGGTGAAAGAAGGCGGATCTGAGACCAGGCCCACTTGGCAGAACAGCATGAAGAAGGTGCTGAAGAAAAGCACCGGCGAGGAGGTGCTAAAGATCCAAAGTACGCCCAGCACACCAATGGTGATGCCAAGTAGCGGCCAGCGAGGATCTTGAGGGCATGTCGCCTGCGACGAAGACAGTTCCACGAAGCTGAATGACTTGGGGAAGGTAGATGGAAATCCGACCGAACGAATCCCATTCTGCTTCGACGGTGGGAACGAGTGCGCAGCACCTTCCAACTTCACCACACCACAGCCACCCACCGTGTTAGTGATAACACCAGCATGGATGGCCGCCTGACAGACATAGCTATCTGCCCGGTAGACACCGGGCTCATCCGAGCCGGGCTCCGGTCCTCCCACGACTAGCCCCCGATAACTGTAAGTCTCGTTGCCAACCATATGAGGCTCCAACAACTTGGCGTCGTGACAGTTGGCAGGACAGCGGAAGGCGATTGTTGACTCGGAGAACGGGCGACAGTCGTTTCCGTTCAGACCACATTCATTCCCGTGCGCCCTGGGATCTAGGTTAGCTCGATCTACCACACCGCTTTAGCGCCTCTCAACTTACCAGAAGCTTGTCCGGCAGGACAGTGTCTGCGGACGCCCATAGCCCTCGATATACCCGGCCTGCCGGGAGTGCCATAGCACCAGACTCCACGGCAGGAACCAGGCGACATACAGTAGCAGCAACAGCGCGATTTTCTGTTTGCGCTTGGGGAAGAAGCGCTCCAAATAACGGACCGGCAGCTCCTGGATCTGTGGGAACAGGGGCCTCAGGAGCAGTGATCGCGGGGGATTGGGACCCCGAACCCATTCAGCGGTGGCTCGACCGACTTTCCGCAGCGGCAATGGTACCCAGCCCCAGCGAAATGATTTGGATGATTCCCGTAGCCAGACGGGCAGATATCGGAGCGCCGCTTCCTCGTCCTGAGGCAGATCGGAAGCGTCGGGATCGACCGAACGAGCCTCTTCATCTTCGAGCGACGGCGGCAGATACGGCCGAGAAGTGTCCTCTGGACCTTCGCCGAGCATTGTTCTAGTGAATTGATGCTAGTGTGAACAATCGGAGGAGTGATGGAGTGATAGATAGAAAGCAGGGTTCTGAGGGAAAGCGACGTATCTAAGTGGGGGGGCGAACGGCGGAGGGAAGAAGCTAAGGGCCTAAGGCTCGGTGCAATCTAGATCGGATCCCAGCCGCAATGAGACCCTTTCTCATTTAAGAGAAGGGAGACTGGTGCAGGAATGCAGAAGATGCAGGATATATGACGCCGTCGTGGGGGAAATGGACCACAATAGAAACAATAGGGGATAGAATGATTGTCCAGAGAGAAGTAAGAAGACAAGAGAGAGAGAGAGAGAGAGAGAGAGGTGCATGAAAGAGAGAGAGGCAAGAGAGGCCTGGCGCCCGCTGGCAGCCGGACTGGACAGACAGTCTAAGCCTTGCCTTTAAGGTTCAGGTTCCATTCCACAGCCATAGTCACTCGCCCCAGTCTTCTGACCACTCACCGTCGATTATGTCAGCCCCACTCTCCGCAGCGTTCCTGCGGAGTGTCAGATGAATTATGTCAGCCTGCCCTCGTATTGACTGGAATCCCCCCCCCCTCACTTCACTCTCTTCAGGGGACTGCTTTTCCGCAGTGGCAAAATGACCGATGGGCAGAAGGACAGACACCGCTGGATTGCCTCAAATATACCTGCTAAATCTTGATTATCTTCTATATATACAGTCATATCCTTGACGAGCGAAGCATCCAGAGACAAATCATACAAGACCTTTAGATACACTGCGCCTTCAGCAACACAATATGTACCCGACCACTTTGAAACCACCGGGAGTATGAACTAAAAAAATCATAACAAAAAAAGAGGAAAGATGTCCCTTTAAAAAAAGATACCCACAGTATGTGGAAAATGGTATATAAGGACCACTGTGTGGTATATAGATGCGAGATCAAGCCGTCATTGCCGTGGCCTAGCCTCCGAGGAGCATCCAAGCGATCATGCCACCCCACGCCCCAACAAAAACAATCGTCAAGATAGATGCACCGGCCTTGTCACCGGCGGTGATCTTCCGCGTCGAGGTCTTATCGCCGGTGGTATCTCCTTTACCGGCATTCGGGTCGCTAGAACTGTTACCGCCAGTGGTGGAGGTAACCGGGCCGGACTTCTTCGTCGTAATGAGAGCAGATGAAAGGACATTGGTGACGGCGATTTCTTCCTCCATGCCGTTCCATCCATCCCACGACTTCGGGTACCACCGTACACCACACGTGTTGTTGCTCATTCCGTTGCAGGACGCGGCCGCGGCCACAGCGGAGCCCTGCAGCTTCGGCAAGATCTCGTCATATGTCGAGGGGACCACAAGAGCCACAAATCCGAGCCACCCGCTCAGCAGGCCCTTGAAGAGGATTTCGTTGTCGTTGCAAACCTCTAAGGGTTCACAGAGTTCCTCGGACATGATGTTGCCGCCGTACTTGGACGGGAAGAATGTGGTCAGGGTGACGTTCAAAAGACCATCCACGGCGGTCTTCCACTTGGCCTTGCCCGTCTGCGATTTTGTCTCCTGTTAGCGTCCACGCAACCCCCAAGGTCGGTCGAGAGTCGTTCTTACATAGTTGTACATGTATGCGGCACCCATCAGATATGTTCCATAATTGTAAGACCATTGGTTGTTGCCCTGCGTTGTGCAGCCGTTATCGATGTCGGTTGAATCCGCCACGTTCCAGGTTTCGTTATTCAACAGAGGAACGGATGCCGACCAATCGAAGATCTTCTCGGCCCAGTCGGCGTACGTATCGTTGTTGGTGTAACGGGCGAGACGGGCAGCCAGCTGGAACAGGCCTCCGTTCGAGATTGAGTTCTTCATATCGTACCCAGCCTCGTACGGCCAGATCTGCCAGCGCAGTCCGCCTCCACAGTTCGAGGAGTCCCAGCGTGCGACTTGGGTGTTGTATACGCCCTGAGCAAGAGCGAGCCAGGAATATCCGTCGGTCGAATCGGCGAAGTCAATCTCAGCCGCGGTCATCGCTGCGAGGCCCCAAAACATTTGGTCGTCGTTACCCTACACAGATGTCGTATGTGAGATTCCGTCCGAAAGTCCGATGCCACGCAAACCCGGATTACATACCAGATAACTACTGTAGTTGCTCGGCATGTAGTCGCAGTCACCTGCTTGCCATTGCATACCTTTGCTAACTTCATCGTTGTAGGTGCTGTCTCCGGTATAGTAATAGTAGAGAAGCAAACTCATA